AGTTATAATATTAGTTTTATTAAGGTAGTCTCTTGCTTTTTGATATTTGTGTCACGCCCCGAGCCTATATTCTGGACGTGACTGGCACTCGAGAATCATTTCTGATCCCCAAGTGACTCTTAGCCTGGCTACATGACTTACATGACATTAAACAATAAGCGGAAACTTAGATAGGTGAACAAATGAACATTTAAGAAAGTTTTAAAATACTGTCTTTGCAAAATACTTAACATGAACCATGAGTTATACAAAACATCATGAGAAAACAATGGAAAACATCTACTCAATCTGTCTACGAAGCCTCTAACAATGTGAGATGGATGTCGGGACAAGACCCACGACATCTCCTAAAACTATTAACTAAAATGAATTGGAGTCCCCTGAAAGCAAGAAGGCCTCACCAAATGTTATCTGCGAGTGGATAATGATCTCAACGATTCACCGGTTGATGATCCTTACATGTATCTGCATCATGAAACGATGCAGGTCTTATGACACCAGTACATTGAATGTACTAGTTCGTGAAAAGGTTAGAGTAAACAATAATTTGGCTTTGAATGACTGAAACAACATAACTGGATTAATACATGGATGTGAAGTGATAACCATTTAGGCTTTACCATATAATATGAAATGAAAGCAACATGAAAATAATATACTTTACTTGTGGAGAGTTTCTCTAACCAACAACCATTACCATGAGCCTAGTAATGATACAACGGTTCGCCTCACGTTGTTAGGGCCATCATATACTTTGTCGAGGGTATAAGATGATATCGTGAATATGGATCCATCTAATTGACCTTCTCAGAGGCAGTGAGGAGTCGCTTGAAGAGTCAGTGATATCCTATCTTACGCTGGCTACGTAGTTCTATGGGACTTCCGAATCAAAAGACACTCTAAACCAACTCGGTGCTCGATACTATTTCCAAAACGGAAAAGGGTCATATTAACCCTTGTACTCTCAGAAAAGGGTTATATTTGCCTTCGTCATATTTTTTTGATATATTTGCCCCCACCATCCAACTTTAGGCACATATTTTCCCTTGAACAGTTAAATGTCATGTCTCCTACTTTTATCATCCTACATGACGCCTATGTGGCATATCTACATAGATATATATTTATTCCACCAATCTTCCTCGTAATTTAATTATTAAATTCATCCATTACATAAAACCCATTTCCTAATATTACTTCATTTTCACTTTTACCAGAGAAAAATCCTTTAACAGATAAACAAAGCTGCTCATCCATATGTTCGAGCAATAGAGAAGCTTCGAATTTGAGCAAAGAGCAACAAAGATCCTTTTTTGCTCTTCTCATCTCAAAACAGTATACCACACCTCTGTTGGGACTGTTGGAAAACGGTAAGAATCATAGCCACAATAAATCAGAAACCAACAAAAAAACTAAATGACCAAAAAATAATAAATAAAAAAATGAAGAAGTATCAAATATTTTTTATCTTGAACTTTTTTAACTTAACAATGTTCAAAAGATCGTGTTTTTCTCTGGAAAAGTGACAATGAAATAATATTAGGAGTTGGGTTTTAGATAATGGATTGATTTAATAATTAAATTAGGAAGAAATTTTTGGCAGAATAAATATATATATCCATGTAGATATCCACATAGGCGCCATGTAGGATGATAAAAGTAGGAGACATGACACTTAATTGTTCAAGGGCAAATATGTGCCTAAAGTTGGATGATAGGGACAAATATATCAAAAAAGTATGACGAAGGGCAAATATAACTCTTTTATGAGAGTACAGGAATAAATATGACCCTTTTCCGTTCCCAAAATAATAGATATAACATTATGCTCAATTCACTCATTAAAAGGAATGGACTTCACATTCTTGAAAAGATGTACTTGTGAAATTCTTTTTCAAGTTCAATAATCAACATAGATACATAAGTATACATTTAGTTATATAAATAACATTTGAAAACTCTTAGGTGTTTATGAAATAAAACATTTGAACTTCCATTTAACTTTACCTCGACTTGAAAATGTGAATTTAAAAATGATAATGGAGGTTTTAGATAGAGAACAAGTACGAAACGAGAACAGAGAAGGAACCATTTACTGGGGGTCTGATTGGGCGTCCTACTGAGACATCACGCCAGACTCCATTTACTGGGGAGCCTGATTGGGCATCCTACTGGCACGCTGCGCCAGATCCCCATTTACTGGTCTGATTGGGCATCCTATGGCGCATCGCGCTAGGCCCCCATTTACTGGGTCTGATTGGGTGCATTGTTGGCGCATCGCGCCAGGCCCCTGGTGCCTTCGGGCGCGATGCCCCATCCCAAACTTAGAATTTTGACGAGTTTTTCTTGTTCAATTCTTGGCCTAACCCACTTGGAATCGAACGATTCATTCCTAAACTCATTTAGATTCATAAACCCAACGAAATTCATCAAAAAACTCCCTCAATTTACACCAAGAACAACACTCATTCGCAAAACCCTCACTTTAACAATCCAACGTGATTTTATTGATAAAGTAGGACTAATATCTATTACATTCTATCTTTTCAAAACTAATATTGTGTTCATTTTAAAGTTAGAAATGTATTTAACTCTTTTTTTTTAAACTAACAATTTATTATATACTATGTTTAAAGTATAATAACATTATTTATATATTTTTTTCACAAAAAATAACAAATCAAATCAAATCATATTTATAGGTTCTCAATTTCATTTATGCATATGATTCTAGTTTGTTTGCAAATTTACGAGGATGCAAAAAGTTATGAAAAAATAATAATTATATATTAGGTAATTATAAAAGTTGTCAAAAAATTGAAAACATTAGTAGGGATGTGCTTCGGCACATCGAAACTTGATTTGATGCTCAAAATTGTAATGTCTCCAAAATCAATATCATGTTCAATGAAAAAGTTAATGTTTTTTTTTTAAAACTTTAACAATTTATTATATTCAATGTTTAAAGTAGAATAAAATTATTTTTATATATTTATCAGATAACATAACAAATCAAACTTTATTTATAAGTTCATTTGTATGATTTTGGTCCATCTGCAAATTTATGAGAAAGCACATGGTTGCAAAAAAAATGATTATACATCAAGTTATAATGAAATTTTTCTTAAAATTAAAAACATCATAAGAAATGTGTTTTCATATGTTAGAACTTGATTTAATGCTTAAAGTAGTTATGTCTATAAAAATATAACTGAAGTAAAAAATAATATAAAGAAAATAAACACATATACTAATCAAATCAAATGAGAAAGTACCATACACATTTTAAATATATCTCTAGTTTATTCATTCATCTCTAACGAAATAATAGTGCCTTCCTTAAAACTAGTATAATGTATTTTATCATAAAAATAATGCAATGTATTGGCTTATAAAGTAATGTTTTCTACGTTGTTTACTTATTCATATACATACATGTTTTTTGCATGCTAATATTTGATGGTAATAATGCGACTTACCTTCTAAAAGAATCACTTTATAAACTATATCATAAAAGATTAAATATACAAAATTGACAATAAGTAGGGATCGTAAGACGCTACGCTAAATAGCATAACTAATGGAGTAATCTAGAAGCTAAATTTTTATTTATAATTTTTTCAACCGACATGTAATTGCATGAAATTGACTAGAATGGCGCGGAGTAACGTATAATGACACATGAATAACGACTGAATGCATTGTAACGTATGAACGGTTAAAGTGATATATAGTGACGTATGACTGAGGATCAAAAATATAGAACTAAAAAAACATTGCAATAATATATAATTACCAATAGAATATAAGAATCACTAATCTTTGAATGATTTCATCAAATGTGATCATTAAGGCGCGAATATCTTCTCTTTAATTCAAGTAATGATACTGTCAATGTCTCTCTACCAACGGTCAAAATAACTATATTACAAATCAAAGTAGAATAGAAAATATAGACAATAATTGATATACATATAACTTTCAGTTAAATTTCGTCAAACTTGATCAAGTTTTTCTTCTTTTTTTAATGTGATTAACAATATTATCAATGTCTCTCTACCCGCAGTCAAAATAAATATATTACAAATCAAAGCAGAGTAGAAAATATAAGAAAATAATTGATATACATATAAAATTTACTTTCAATTAATTTACGTCAAACTTATTTCAATGTCTCTCTTTCAATGGTCAAAATAAATATATTACAAATCAAAGCAGAGTAGAAAATATAAGAAAATAATTGATATACATATAAAATTTACTTTCAATTAATTTACGTCAAACTTATTTCAATGTCTCTCTTTCAATGGTCAAAATAAATATATTACAAATCAAAGCATAGTAGAAAATATAGGCAAAATAATTGGTATACATATAAAACTTACTTTCAATTAAATTTTGTCAAACTTATTATCAATTTCTCTCTACCAGTGGTCAACATAAATATATTACAAATCAAGGCAGAGTAGAAAATATAAGCAAAATAATTGATATACATATAAAATTTACTTTCAATTACATTTCATCAAACTTGATCAATTTTTTCTTCTTCATTTTAATGTGAATAACGGCATTATCAATGTCTCTCTACAAGTGGTCAAAATAAAAATATTACAAATAAAAGCAGAGTAGAAAATATAAGAAAATAATTGATATACATATAAAATTTACTTTCAATTACATTTCATCAAACTTGATCAATTTTTTCTTCTTCATTTTAATGTGAATAACGGCATTATCAATGTCTCTCTACAAGTGGTCAAAATAAAAATATTACAAATAAAAGCAGAGTAGAAAATATAGACTAAATATTTGGCATACATATAAAATTTACTTTCAATTAAATTTCGTCAAACTTCATCAATTTTTTCTTCCTTTTTTTAATGTGAGTAACGGTATTATCAATGTCTCTCTACCAGTGGTCAAGATAAATAAATTACAAATCAAAAGTATAATATAATATCTAATTCAAATACTGAATTCACGTTTTTTTCCCAATGATAAAAATAAATACAATACAAATAAAAAAAGGTGAATTAAAAATATGAACATATTATCTAATTACTTATACGATCACATCTCTATCTCAATAATCAAAATAGATACATTATAACAATTTCATGCAAGCTCCAAGTATAGAAATCCTGTTCAAATTCATAATTATAATTATTAAATTTACTGCCAAACTAAATATATAACAATAATTTTACGTGACACTAAATGTATAGAAATCATGATCAAAATTAAATAAAATAAATATTATTAATTAAATTCATATATATAGTATTATTTATTAAAACAATACTCACCAATAAATAATTCTTTCCAATAAAAAAAATTCATCTTATCTTAAACATATATATACACTTTTAATATATGGTTATTAATCTTGGTAACAAATGAAGATTTTATGCTTTGAATGTAGTCTTTAGCCAAATATTTATTCACCTCTCAACTCCAAACCAATTTTTTTTATATATATAATTAGTATATAAATAGTACAAGCATAAACATAACAACATTTTTCTTTAACGTATACAAAGGTGTGTACTATTTCTTGATATTATTTTTTTCCAATTCTTCTATTCTCTTTCTCTCTCTCTCTACTTGTCCTTCATTTTCTCTTGTTTCTCTCTCCTTTTTTTTTTTTTAACAGTGGACTGACTTTGGCTCTCCGGCATTGACTGGTTCTTAAACAAATTCACTCCGGTAACTGGACTCAGCTAAAGATCGGTAAGTTTAGTTTATAAATATAATAATTTTGTTCTAAATTTTATTTTTATTTTTTGCTTTTTTTTTGTGTTTTAATTGGTTTGTTTTAATTTTTTTGTATAACAACAATCCATAAAAGTAGGTGTGATCATTTTTCAACTCAGAACTATTTTTTTGTAGATTTTGGGTGAAGTTTATGGGGAATTGAGTTTCCTCAAATTCAGTGTGATTTCTAAATTTGTTGTTATTCTAATTCACTTGTTTTTTTCCTCTGTCATTTCTGGGGAATGTTGAATTTTTAGTAGTCATTTCAATCTTTTTCTTCCAATTCTAAGGAAGAAAAATCTGTTAATTAATGATGAACTCCATTATATAGAGACAAGGGAAAGGCAGTAATCTTGATGGAGATTAAGATGAGCTTTTGAAGAATTGATGGAAAGTCTGTTTTCTGTGAGATTTTGCTAATTGGTAAACAACATTTGTGTTTTTTTTTTTGTTTATGAATTTGGTTTGTGGATATGATAATGATAAGTACACACAGTAAAAAGATAGAAATGAGAAAGAAACTGAAAAGTGAATTAATCTTACCTTTTTTTGAGATTGAGTTTCTATAATGAGCAACATTTTTTATTTTTCTGTTATCTGATTGATGATTCATTTGGGTTTATAATAAAATGTCAATGAACTGGAAATAGTAATTGTTGATTTTGTCATTGGTGTATGTATAGGTAGAAAAGTCATTCCTTTTAGACTGCAGAAAACAAAATTCAGAGACTTGAATTAGTAAAGTGCATAAAACTCACCACCTAAGGATGTGGCAGCAGATAGAGCTGTTCCTTCCGTAACTAGAGATCTCTGTTTCAAGCCTGGGTACGGGAAAACATGAATAAGTCGGGTTTTAATGTTGGGTACCACATACACTGGATTAGAAACCAAAAGGAAGTGTATAAAACTGGAGTACTAAGAAACTGTATGTTCAAATTGACGAATCGTTGCAAGTTTATATTCATATAGTGATTTGTTTCAATAATTTTTTTTAATTTTTGAAATATATATTATTTGGAATTTGATAATACTTGTTAATTGGTTCAGTTATTGTGGCATGTTGACTGAGGTTATATTTTGGATCTGCCTCTTTATGTTTCTGATATTTTCTCAAATTTCCTGTCATTAAATGCATGATGAAATCTTTATGCTTTCTTATCAAAGAACTGTTATTTTTCATGAGTTTAAACCTTCTACTTAGGAGCAGTTATGGATTTAATTTTTTTTTCATTTGTATGTTTTACAGTGAAGTGCTATCTGGGAGTTGAAACATAGTCAGTCTTGAACAGTTAAAGGCGAAGACACAAGGGATGAATTAATACAGCCGAGAAGAATAGACTTACAATTGAAGGATGAATCCGGGGAGAGTATTTTCAACTCCCCAAGAGAATGGAGGTGTCCAAAATGGGGATCCTCGGATTCCTTTTAGTCCTCAAAAGCCTGTTTTGCCATTACCAGATCTTGTTCAAGCTGAAGTGCAACGGAATCAGATTGAGATGACAGGATGGCCAGACCTGCTCGGGATGTATGGTGACTTTTTACTAATGCCAGCTTCTGAAACTGGAGTAGTTCAGAATCCTGTCACGTCTGTGAGTTGGGATAAAGGGTCTACTGGTCACTGGTCTGATGTAGCAGTCTGTAACAGAAGCTCCGATTTTGATATCAATAGTTGCGAAAATGTACCAGATCACAGTAAGCCTGCTTGCACAAGGGTGAATTCTTTAGAAGAACTTATTGGTATGAAGAACCAGTCAAATATGCTTTCCACCCATGGAAGATCAAACAACAGCATACATCTCAGTGATATACCAATCCTTCGGAACTCATATGCTCGAGTTGACAGCAGATATGAGCAGCCGCGACTCAAAGCTGCAGGTCAAACATTGCTCAATGAGAGTCAAGTGTTTATAAGTCCAAACCAGACGTTTGATTGTTACAACCGGCACCTACCACTTGGTGAGTTTACTCTTATGTTAGTATTGCAAGAACAAAACCATTTATGAGGTCTTTCAAACTTATGTTTGCAGAAAAAGAAAATACATGAAAGGCAGGAACACTTTCAGATATTGCATTGTAATGCCTAGGAACAGTACAACGAAAAGAAAAAAAGGATGCTATTTTTTTCACTAACAAGATTTATGCATGTCAATGTACTCAAACCCTAATTTACAATCTCTGTGAGCACAACAGAGATTGTGCTAGGAAGTCCATACAACTACGGAGTACAATACATTAGCATAACATTTTATTTTATTTTGATAGATACGATATATTAGCATAACTTTCTTCTTCAACAAATTGCATTACAAGTTACATATATGTATTAGAGATTCTAACTGTTGTATCAAGTTACTCCTAATAATAAAAGTTAGTTAGATATGCATTTTGAACGCAAGTTAGTGACGTAAAAGCTTAGAAATTATCCCATTTGATAGATATATATCATGATATTTCAATCTGAATCACAAGTTTGTCTAATTTATTTTCCTTACAGATGGTATGCGAAGCCCTTATCAGGTCAATAGATCCTTGCTTTCACCACTGGCATCAGATGCTGGTACAAGTCCAAGCACAAATAGTTTCTTCACATTTGCACCAGTAACACCAGAACATAACCACTTCAATGACAACCAGCATTTTGAGAGACAAAATGTCCCGATACAAGAAAGGTCTAGCCTTGAGAAAGATGGGCAGGAGAATGTTCTCGGGTCTATGAAATCTAAAGATGACCACTCTGATAAACTGTTACAGAGAGTCACAGATTCAGTGGTTGTCAATTCACCATTGACTGAAAAGGTTGATAATGGCAATGTAGGTAATGTGGACATTGACCTAAACAAGACACCAGCATCGAAAACTCCCAAAAGGCGAAAACACCGGCCGAAGGTAGTAATAGAAGGGGAAACCAAAAGAACTCCGAAGCGTGCTGCTCCAGGAGATGGTACTCCAAATGAGAATCCATCAGGAAAAAGGAAGTATGTCCGCAGAGACGGCCTCAAAGCTTCAACAACTGAACAAACCGAAGTTAATGAGTCCGCTGCCCAAAGAAATAGCACTCCAAATGAGAACCCATCAGGAAAAAGGAAGTATGTCCGCAGAAAGGGCCCCAATGCTTCAACAACTCAACAAACCGAAGTTGTTGACAAGGACAAAGTTCCTGATGCTGGAGAGACAGAAAAAACATGTCGGAAAATGCTAGATTTTGACTTGGAAGACATAACAAAAGATGAAAGCCTGCCAAGTACCAATATCCACCACCTAGAAAAACATCAACAAAAGAAAGAAACTTTCGATTTGAACTTGAATTCCCAAGACATGGAGTTGTCATTGGCTATCATGGAGGCGTCTGCAATATCAGCTGGGCATAACCAGAGGAAAGGAGAAATTGCAGAGAAACTGCTAATGGAAAAGCCAAAAGATCCACTTCCATCAGCAAATCAAGTTACAAGAAATAATCAGGCACTGAATGCTCTTGCAAGAAGTCTAAGTATGCGAACTGTCACTAGATATCCAAACAGCATTCAGCTGTATGAACCAAGACAGCTAGCACTGGGTAGGATGCCTCTACTTCTGAGAGACACAGCATCCACAGACAACGACGGAAGAGGATCCAAGAGGGATCAGTGCCCCAGTTCCCCATTTCAACCAAGAACTTTCAGCCAGATGGGATCTGTGTGCTCGGAAATGTTGGGGAATGACAACAGCAGAAGAAACTGCAGCACTTCATCTGGTATTCCTTCCTCTACTGCAGCTGCAATTCATGACTCAACAAAGTTCCCATCAAGCAGCTTGAGCATAAACAGATATAACAGAGCCAGTGAGGAGGGTAGTAGGCATTGTGCTAGTCCCATGGTTGTTAAACATAATTTGCAAAAGCAACCAAACCCATCTCAGATGCATTCTTATGCACAGCCAATACCACAGCACATATCCCAACAGACGGCTGAAATCCATGGATCCCAAGTACAGGCCACCATCAGAAATTGGAATCATCAGTATCAACTCCAAAGTCTTGCCATGGTGGTACAAAACATTGAGAGAAGAAATTCTCACAACAAGATGCCAGCACAGCAGAACATGGGGAAGACATCACCCAATGAACTATACAATTATGGGGAGCTACTTCCAAGAGAGAACAAGAATTCACGAGCTGACCAACATCACCTGACAAAAGCTAGAGGTATCATTTTGCAACTATGGCATCACTCTGGCTTTTATTGTTTTTTTTTCAGCAATGTAGCATCAGTCTTAGGCGAAGTATGAAGAATCATGATGGGGCGATTTGTCCATGGAATATCTTTCCCTTTTTATAAAAAAATAATCAGAACATTGTTTGGTTATACATTGGGCTGATTTTTTTTTCAAGAAAAATCTGAAGATGAATTTTCCTTTTTTGTTCAAAATTTTAAAAACTGTTGAAGAAAAATCTTTTCTACTAAAAATATTTCATCTTGTTTTCAAGTTAAATGCATGACAAAACACTTCAATTTCCAAATACAATTTTCAACTTAATTTCAAATTCTATTTATTTTTTCAAATATCACATCTTTCTTATGTCCAAATGCTTACTAAGATTCCAATCACTAAAAACTTTCTGTCAAACAGGCTTACAAGAAACACACAGACATGCAGTGTCAGTCGACACAGGCTTACAAGGAACACACAGACATGCAGTATCAGTTGATGTAATCACACAGCAATTGGAACGCCTTGTTATCAGTAATAGCAAGAAAAATGCTGCTCAAGTGGAGCAAAAGGCCCTTGTTCCTTACAAGGGCAGTGGCACAATTATCCCTTGTGAGGGATTTGATCCTATCAAAAGACGTAAAGCACGGCCCAGAGTGGACCTTGACCCAGAGACCAACAGACTATGGAACGTCTTAATGGGGAAGGAAGAAAGTGCAGAGACAATGGACAAGGACAACGAAAAATGGTGGGAAGATGAAAGGAAAGTTGTCCGTGGACGGGTAGACTCTTTTGTCGCACGAATGCGCCTTGTTCAAGGTAACAAACAACCATTCATTTCCACTACCACACATCTGTCTTATATTATTAGAATTGTTCTTATCGTGATATTATCAGCTCCAAATAGACAAATAATTTGAAAAGCTTTGCAGGTGATAGGAGGTTCTCGCCTTGGAAGGGATCAGTAGTCGACTCAGTAATAGGAGTATTCCTCACACAGAATGTTTCAGATCATCTCTCAAGGTAATTGATGGTCAGCTACCATCAGAAGAACATAGTCAATCTAATTAAAAATAGAAGTTGATAATTCAATAACATACCTTTTCTTGCAGCTCTGCTTTCATGTGCCTTGCAGCCAAGTTCCCCTTGCCAACACGCACCAAGAATACCCTCTCCCAAGATGGGTGTAACATAGTAGTGGAGGAACCAGAAGTCGAAATAATAGATCCAGATGGGACTACCATATATCATAAAGCTAGACTACAGCACAGAATGGAAAACCACACTCATACATCTAGAGCTTATTTAGTAAGTGAGCATGACAAGAGAGTTGACGAGGAAGTCATTTCATTACAAAACTCTCCTGACTCTCTCATTCTTCAAGCCAATGAAGAACTCAGGTCAAGCTCCGGATCCGACTTAGAAAGTGAAGACCGACCAAGTTCACCCAACTTGAACAAAGACAGAACTCAAGCAAGCCATTCTCCACCAACAAAGTGGGCTGCTGCATTCCAGGAATATCAGAGTCACTTTATGAGGAATAGGCTTTCAGAAAAGTTGCCCGTCTGTGGGAATCAGAAGATAGAAACTGTAGCAGATATCGGGCATAATGAAAATCTTGATGCAGAGACATATTTACATGGCTATCCAATCAATCCGCATGTTCAGGTCCAAGAGATACCAATAAGATCTGCCAGTAATTCCTGGTTGAACATGACACCAGAATTTGGAAAACATGAATCAGCATGCCATGAGAAAGAAATCGACATGAGCAAAAGCATGAAACAAATAGCAGGAAGTTCAGGTCCTTTAATAGCTCAGCAAACCACACTTCCCTTTATTCATGCACCAAGGATGGGAGAGATGGGAGGTGTGAAAATGCAACCTCACAAGGTAGATAATCAACATTCTGTAAGGTCCCATCAAAATGAGATGGCAATGGCCTCACAACTAGAAAGCGCTTGCATCCGACAATCAGTAAACCATTCAGAAGCCGTTGCTAAAGGACAAGAAGGTAATCCTGATATCCCAAAATCTTGTAGTCCTTACCTCGTAGTACATACAAGAAACTCTTGCAATATAACCAAATTCCATGCAGAAGGTCAAGCTTATCCTTCAAGCAAGCAACCCAGTATAACAGGCACCAGCATCTCAAAGACAAGAAAAAGAAGAGTTGAGGAAGGAGATAAGAAAGCTTTTGATTGGGATAGCTTGAGAAAGGAAGTCCAATCAAAGAGTGGGAAAA